AACATGTCAAGCCTTATATAGGGGGATAACAATCCCCCTATATAATAGCAAAGGCACACTGACAGGTCCTCTTTATGGAGACATTAGGGGTCTCTAGGACCCCTAATGTCACCTGTGGACCCCAAAAGAAGCTGATGAAGCAGAGATCTGCTTCATCAGCTTCTTTTCTCTGGCTATAGCAGCCAGATAACTGACAGGGGGGCGGACGCGAATGAGCACATATAGACGATCGGCGGGCTATGGAGCCGCTGATCGCCTATATGTGAAACACCCAGTAACGGGTGTGTGCAATGGTCGGGTCTTTTCTGCCCGTGCGTGCCCGCTAGGGGGCACGCGCGAGCAGAAAAAAAATGCCGTCTGGCGACGGCAACCCGCCAATGCAGCAGTGCCGTCCGTCCGTTTTTTTACAACGGGCGGACGGCAAGAGGTTAAGGAGATTTGGTATAGTGATCCTGGGTTGCCAAATAAAGAAAAGGATGTCATCAGCGTATGCAGCTATTTTATGTTCCTGCCCGGAGAGCTCTATCCCTATGATGTTGGTATTATTTCTAATGGAGAGTAAGAGTGGTTCTAGTGAGAATGCAAATAGAATAGGTGAAAGGGGCCATCCCTGATGGGTACCATTATGAAGTTCAAATGTAGGGGACAATGTGCCATTTATTTTGATCTGTGCCGTGGGTGAGAGAGTATAGGGAGCGTATACAAGCATTCTAGGACCCAGACCTATATGTTCGAGTGTGAGAAGTAGGTAGTCCCAGTCCACTCTATCAAATGCTTTTTCAGCATCGGTAGAGAGGAGCATGGTAGAACCCCCAGCATACGAGGCGTCTTGGATCAAAGAAATGGCCCGTTGTGTGTTATCCCTTTCTTCTCTACTCGGGATAAATCACGTTTGGTCAGGGTCAATAAGTTGGGGCATTAGACGGCCTAATCTATTAGCTATTACTTTGGCATATAGTTTAATATCTGTGTTTAGTAGAGAAATCGGTCTGTAGCTACCATAAACTGAGGGGTCTTTACCTGGCTTAGGAAAAATGGAGATATGTGCATGTAGAGTAGAGGGTACTGGAGGAGTACCCAGAGGAAACTTATTGACATATGCAGCCAGGTGAGGTAGGAGAAGAGTCTGAAACGTCTTGCAATATTTGGCTGTGTAACCGTCTGGGCCGGGGCTTTTGCCCGTCGGGGACGTGGCAATGGTAGCCTGAAGTTCAGTTGAAGATATAGGTGCTTCCAGCGTCAATAGATTAGTGGGTTCCAGTTTTGGGAAGGATATATGTGACAAGTAAGAATGGATCAGCTCTTTGTGGCATTCCTTTTGGTGTGAGGAGGAGTTAGGTCGCACATTGTATAGATCTGCGTAGAATTCCCTAAAGGTCTGCGCAATGACTCTGGTGAGATAAGTGAATAAAAGCGACAGATGAAGGATCCCTGTGCGGACCTGAAACGTTAGCACCGTATGCCAGTATGTGACATTGGGTATTGAATAAACATATCAATACTTTAAAAACCCTTCAAGTGTGTGCCGGTGATTTACTTTTATTTACTATTAGTGTTTTGCACGGCGCCATCCGTGTGGTCACCTGGGCACCACATATACCTTGTGGTTTTGAGACCATGGCAGTGCGAATGGGATTTGGACTTTGTGGTGAGATGAGTGATCGTGTTATTTTTGGTCTTAATTTTATCTATGAATCCCACATTCTGGCGAGCGCGCAGGTGGCGGGCCAAACGTTTACCAGGTTTGTTGCTAAATTCATATGATTTTTGGGATAAATAGCTTAAGGAGCGAGTATATTGCGCCTGGAGGACTGAGCGTAATTCTTCTCGGGTCTTTGTGAGGGCTTGCAAGTGTGTGTCTGCTAGTGTGCTATCTTGTTAGTTCTAAGAGTTTGTAAGTTTGTTCTTTTTTCTTACGAGCTCCATGTGCAATTAAGGCCTCACGAATCGTTGCCTTATGAGCCTCCCATAGGATCCCAGGGGATATCGCCTCCTGATCATTCTCAGGGCCGACAAAGGCCAGATAAAGGTGGGTAGACGAAGAATAGTGGGTAAGAAAGGAGTAAGGGTGAGACAGAAAAGAGAAACCCAATACAATAGAAAAGTAGCGATAGGGGATAACCCCCTTCCGCATTTCCACAGTGTCACAGAACCGTGGCATTGAGGCCAGATGTCAAAACTAAGGACTCCTTTAAAGCCACGGACATCTTCAGTGGGGAACGAGGCAGGGTCCCGAGTGTAGCAGCCCAACGAGTCGGATCCCAGGTATCCACGCATTGTAAAACACATGCATGCGCCCATACCTGGAAGAGCCGGCGCGCTACACGCAGTTTATGAGGGGATGAGTCAGGGGATACATGGCCCGAGCAGTGGAGTAGGCCGCAGCACGTGGGGTGGCCGGAGCCCGCCGATCTGCCAGGTACTTTTTTATACCTGCGGACAGCGTTTTAGAGGAGTCTGCTTTACCGGACTTATTCCTCATCTTAATCGTGGCGATCAGTGGTGTCTAGCTGGTACGGGATATCAAGTAATGGCGACACGTATAATGGCGACATGTCTGGACGCCATTATGTCCTGGAGACGCCTCCGGCTTTGGGTCTTTTGATGGTGTAGGAAGCTGTACTCACTGACACCTTGGCTTTCTTTGCAGTTTCTCTAAAGGAAGGACCTACACTTTTAAGGGTTATATCGGTCTGTCTGTCTTCCTTTGTTAATTGCCTTTTTCTTGCCATATTGAGAGCAATATACTACTTCCTGAAGTAAAATACTGTCCAAATATTGCTTAAAAGGGTGTAGTAACACAGTCTGTAACAACACTGCTTTTATACAGACAGACGGTTTTTGAGTAACCAACAAAAGTTGGGAAACCTGTAGGAATTGTTAGCATAAACTTTCAAGCCTTAAATGTACATACATTGCTGTAGAACAACTGTGAGTTGTTAACCCTTTACTTCTTCCCTGAAAAAGGCTTTTTTGTATAACTCTGAAATGTACAATATATTTTTAGGTTTTTGTTTAAAATCACTGGACTTGAATGGCTTACATTTCTATAAAAATAACATTTGTGTGTGGTATATATATACATACAGGTGAAACTCGATTAGAATATCATGCAAAGTTCATTTATTTCACTAATGCAACTTAAAAGGGGAAACTAATATATGAGATAGACTCATTACATGCAAAGCAAGATAGTTCAAGAACCAGACAAATATTAAAGTAGGAGATGCAGTGCTGCTAAAAGATAAGTGAAAAGGAATGAATGGCCAGTGGGACGCACTGTCAACACATTGCCTGGAAGAGATGTCAAACTCAGAAAAATAGAAACAAAAAGGCATAAAGCAAAGAATTGCTAAAGTATTTCTGAGACCAGTTTCGGACAATTTAGTTTTACTTGTGTGCAAACACATAACCAGCAATTTAATTTTCAGATGAACTGGGTTTATACTGACAAAATGTTTTTATACCAGGCAGGGAGCTTGCTGCCATAGATTTTTTAAATGACAATATAGTATTGAGTTTATTGCGATCATCTAATGGTCAAGCCTTTTTTTACAGCAGCAGGAAATACAACAGACTTCAGGAAGTTGGGTCTGTCATCAAGATGACATACACACAGGATATATCCCAAGCATTAACTGTCCTGCTTCCAGGAGGGAAACAGTTGCCCACTTGCATAATATCAGAACTTCCAAAGCCATGAATGCAAAATAAATTGATACACAATTAAATGCAGCTAATATGCAGATTATTACAGTCTAGAGATTTGCCTTAAAAAGTAAACAAGAACTTTATATAAATAAATGTAAATGTTCTTTTCAATCATGTCAGAACTTCAAAAGAACACAAGGGACATAATTAAAACAACAGTTTCGGCATTCCTGTCCTTCCTGAAGTTTCTGCTGGTGAACTTAAGAAAGGGAAGGAACACTTGAATCTTGTTTGATGATGTTCTTTGGAGTCTTTGATGATTGAAAAGAGCATTTACTTTAAGGGCCTTGGTGCCATCCTTTCCCCTTCACCCCTCCTTGTTACGGTCCTGCTTCTTTCCCTTCTCTTTCTCTTACCTTACTCTCCTCCTATTAATGATCTCTGACACTATCAACCCCGGAATGTAGGAGACTGTTGCCCACTCATTTTCTCCTTATAATTCTAAGGTTGATGTAGGAATATTGCCTCCTCCTCGTAGGACATATTTGCTTTTACATATACACTTGATGATACCTATGCGAGGAAATCTCAAACGTGTTGCCCTGCATACAGTAACCTGTTTGTTATCCTGTTTCATAACAGCTGTGATCATTTATTCTCCATTGTTATTGTCTCAATGCTGAACTTTAAAACCAATAAAATATTTTTGAAATTGAAAAGAGCATTTACACATTTGATTGAATTTATATTATAAACATATAAGATACAAAAGCAAAAGAAACCCATTTAACATAAACAATTTATATTGGGGTGGCCATATTTGCTCATTACATATACAGGCTTTAGCTATAATTGCTGACCTTATTATCTTCCTGTGACTGGAAATAGTATATTCTTGGTAGATACCAATGGCACAAAACTCCCCCAATGTTCCTATAGCTCAGGAACATGCGATCATAGACTATGCTTATACTCACATGAGGTAGGACAAAGGCAGCACTTTTAATATTAAGACGGTTTTTCTCACTCAAAATAATATGATTTAGCATTTCCAACATAAACTCTATTAATTCCCATCGCAAGAAGGATTTTTAGAGAGTGGTCCACTTTAACTTTAAAAACAACTGCCTTGCTTTAACTCTCGAACGCTGATCTTGTTCCACATGTGGCAGATTCACTTTAAAAAACGCAAGCCTTTGCTGGTCTAAAAATACTGTTTATTTGCTGTTCCCATACATTTGCACATACAGATGCTATTTTAATGGTAGATCATACATAACATCTTGATAGTCAGCAATAATGACTGCATCGGAGCAAACATTTCATTGCACAGCGTATCAGTTTCTCACCACATTTGATGCTCTCCAGGCTAACTGGCAGGCCGGCTTGTGCTGCAGCAATTAATTTCAAAGCAATAAAAAACTGAGCTGGTCCAAAGTAACCGATAAGTTTTGCACCACACAGCTCCGTGATCTAGGAGAAAGGAGAAAGAACAAAGAACTAAGCATAAAATAAGAAAGCATATATTTCAATATACAGCTCTGAAAACACAACTTCATATCAGAAGCTTTTATGCTTGCCAGTGAACACATCTAAAAATGACATCAATCTTGTCCTATTACAACACAATTATGGGTGGAATACCATACTTTGTTAAACATTACTGCCCATCTATGCGAGAGTCTTTAATCCAACAAAACAGATTAGTAATACAATCAACAGACATTCAATAACATTTTTATTTCCCAAGTATACATGTGACAAAGTATAGTATCTAACTGGTAGCAAAACAGTAAATTTTTTTCAAGCTTCCAATACAGTCACAAGGAAGCAATATTAAAGATTTTTATTTTATATATCCTGCTGAAAACCTTTTGCTCAAAAAAAAAAAAAAACTCCTGAGGACAGGGTAGGATTTATATAATCTTTTGGCACCGAACATTGTGCACCTTAAAGTGACATTAAAGTAAAAAAAATGTTTCCCTCCCCCCAGTGTTAATGTTAGCACTTACCTTAAATGATGTTTCTTATTCCGATCTTCTTCTTTCCTGATGTTTTTATCTGTCCCTCCAGCGGTGTGGCGGCTCTCCGATCCAGCGGTGTCTGCATGCGGGTGCATGCGTCCATACACTTACCTTGCGTCTCTGCTCGTCTCCCGGCCGAGAATCCGAACTGTGCATGCGCCCGCCCCAAGATGCTTTGCGGCCGCCCGTACAGAAAAAAAAGGTAAGTTTAAACCGTTGTTTTAGCGGGTTTTTTTTTTTTAAAACTGTTTGCCTATATCTCCTGCTCGATAGCAGGAGATATAGGAAAAAAAACCCTTTAAGGGGAACCCGACATGCAGGGTAAAGTGTTTAAAGCTTCACTTATAGTATAACTAAACCCTTAATAATAAATTCATGTCCCTATATGTAATTTTGAGAAAAAAAAAAAACATCTGCCCAGTCTTTCAAAAAATATAATCAGAAGCTTATATTTTTAATGTGCGGCATTGCTATTCTTTAATTTTGGTTTATGGGATGGCACACCCAGAAGTAATGAAGTAGTGAACTAAAGCTCAGAAGCAGCTGTCTATCACAGGAAATGGGAGGTGTTGAAGCAGAAGGTCCCTTCCTTTGTAAATGCCTTACTTTCTGCCTTGTCTTGAGGCAGCATGTTGGCTTGTACAGAGAGAAGCATGCATTCCAAAGATGGCAACACGGCTTCTGCCTAGGGAGACACTTTGGCAAATATGTCACGTAGTAAGTGGCAATAGAGGCTGTCAGTGGAAAGGTCAACAGGCTGAAAGAAGAAAATGATCAGAGAATCAGGATTGTAAGGAAATATTCAACCTTAAAGTTCAAGACATAAATAAATATTCTTAACCCTTGCAGTGCTCGTTTTCATCTAAAAAAAAAAAAAAGAGAAACTCACCTGAAGCTTGGATCCGGCTGGCTCCTAGACTAATGCCTTCAGCCTGTCTCCCCCCTCCACTTCAGCAATTCCCTTGGTGGTCCCTTGGTATAATGGTTGTTGCTTACCATTATACCAAAACACCATTATACTTAACAAAATGCAAAACTGTAATTTTTCTACTGTTTATAATTTCAAAGGGGGGAGTTACTGTTCACCCTCATCAACCCTGTCTGTACTGTGCTGGCAGATCCTCAAAAGAAATATCTAAGAGGTAAGAAATAGTTCTTAAAAATTATTTCTCGGTCACTCTCCTTTCCCCCTTCATGACCCCTAGTTAACTTACTTAAAAGAGAACTATGGGGTAAACTTTTTATCCCATAGTTATCCCATAGTATCCCAGGGTCACGGCAGGACATATACTAACCTCCTCCTCTGACCCAAAGCGCAGTATATAGCATGCTATTACCCGCCATATACTGAGAGCACTGCAGCCAGGACGGATCCTGACAATACTGTCTGAATCCACCCAGCTGGCTGATTGACAGCAGGCTCTGCCTATCTAGAGTCAGCGCTGGAGTATCAGAGAGGGGAGGGGAGATTCCCAGCGGGGAGCGGTGACTGACAGTCATCACTCTCTGCAGGGAGAAGATCGGGAAGTATGCGAGCGACGGTATGTGTTCACTGACTTCCCGATCTATAGAGCCGATGTGCAACAGCTTCCTTGTCACAGGTCAGCTCCAACTATGGGGATGAGTGATTTTCACTCACCTCATAGTTCTCCTTTAGGAGTCCCTCCTCTTTGAGTTTACATTATCCAACAACAGGTCATTAGGGGACCCTAACCACTTGTATTTACCCAGGTTATCTGCACTTTAATAGCTCCTTTGAAGTAGAAAGGTGACACTAGGGGTCTAATTGACCCCTAAAGTTACCTTAAAGAAAACCTGTCACCACTAATATGCTATCATATAGGGGATTGTAAGCACCCCTGTGTGATAGCAATGAAGTTGTTTAAAAAAAAAAAAAGTTTTAAAAATAGAGAGTCAAATAAATTGAAAAATATCAAACAAAAATGTTAAAGTCCCCTGCCCCCACAAACACACACATATTAATGTAAACACACGTCGGGTACAACTACACATGAAAATGACGATTGGCCTACACTATAATTAGGAAAAATTACTGAAAATTTTGGGGAAAAAAAGTTTTTTTAACATGATGTTAGGAAACATTTATTATTACCCATTTTTTTGGTAAAATATAAAAGTCGGGGTCACGTCGGTTAAATAGACACCAAACATGTCAAGCTTTAAAATTGCGCGCACCCGCGACATCGCAGAAAACTACCATACCCAAAATTGGCCATAGGCGACACTTTAAAAGCTTTTACCGCTCATCAGTTTAGTGTTATCAGTGATTGATGGCCCTAAAATTATTGCTCTCACTGTGACGTTCGCGGCGATATGGAAGATGTGCGGCGTAATAGGCGCAATTGTCTTTTTTGCACGTATGCGCCCCCGACGCATGTTTGCATGCGTGTATGTATGGGTGGGGACTTTTACATTTTTTACATTTTTTTTTTATTCTTTTTTATGTGTAACTTGAAAAAAAAAATTGGGGGGGGGGACTTTTAATTTTTTTTTCCTTTTTTTCACTAAACTATATTGCTATCACATACGGGGGCTAATAAAACCCCTATATGATAGCAAAATATGTGACAGGTCCACTTTATGGAGACATTAGGGGTCTCCAAGACCCCTAATGTCACCTAGATGTCACGTTGCAAAATACAAGCGATCGTTTGTATGTTAACAGGCACCGCTGCCCGTTTTTAAATTGCGGCCACTTCCCGCTCACGAGGGGGCGTGTCTGAGCGGACATCTAAAGGAGGTTACTTCTGTTAAGGAGGTTACGTCTACCTGCCAGGCAGACCAAGTCATGCTTCTGCACACCTGTCATCATAGCACTCACACTTAGCCTTTTACATTCCTGCTGCAGGGCTACAAAGACAATCTGCAAATGCAAACTTTCTGAAAATTGGTATTTGCATATATTTAGGCAGCGCCCCCAACAACAAACACACACATTAGGTAGCTTTATTCTTCATGGGGGGTAGGGGATTTAACTATTAGAATATATATCTTTTTAATATACTACATGGCTGACTCTAAGCAAAAAAATTATTTCTGGGGGCAACCTCCACACTGCAAGGGTAAAGTGCTCGTTTTATACTTAGCCAATACTTAGAGATGACTTGCTCTTAGACCAGTCTCCTTCTGGCCTCTCCCCCCCCCCTGCACCAGTGGTCTAAGGATCCCTGAGTTATCACGTTCTATACACAGTGTATTGGACGTGAGGACGATGAGGAACAAACCATTGCTGCAGCAGAGAAGGAGGCAGGGACCAAAGTAACAGCCAGCCAGCTACACAGTTGGAGTGAGTATAACTTTTTTTTTAGCACCTAGACAAAAATGAGCCCTTAACCCTTGCATTGCAGGGGTAGTCCCACTGCAAGGGTTAAGAACACTTGTGTATGGAGTTCTGCTTTAACCAACAGCATGTTACGATATGCCAGAAATGAAGGCAGCTCTGTATTCATTATTCAGGTGTGGTGCAGAGGAAGGAGCATGAGTGACAGAGAGCTGATAAGTCTGCTGCTTTTCCTTTCACTGTCCAGTCACAGAGAGGGGCTATGGATTAGCATATTTAACCATTTGTCTGCAGTTTAGCTTTAACAACTTTTTCTTTTAATTTCAGTCTATAAACTAACAATACATTATGGGCTCAGCTTCTGTCCCCAGTGCTTGCCCTCAGGTTCGGATGGTGCCCAATCTTTACTTGTTAGCCATTTTGCTGGTAAATTAACCCCTTCACGACCTATGACAGGATAATCCCGTGATGAAGTCTGAAGAGGTTATACAGACGCCGGGAGTCTGTTCCATTTTGTAGAGCCGACGATCGGCTTTACAGTAGAAGCGATTCTGGCGGCCTCAGCTGCCACCAGATTGCTTTTACGATCCGTTAACTGGGCCACCCACCACCTGGACACCCCCGCCTTGTTTCCTGTGCTTCGCTGCCCCTCCTACGTGCCCAGGACTGGCTTGCCGGGTATTGGCGGGAAGCTGGGGAACTATGCGATGGGAGCGACACGTATTGCATCACTTCCAGTCCCATAGCTGTCATTGCTGGGCTCCTGAGTCGATCTGCACTTCAAGCATGTTGGGTATCTATGTACTCGGTGTAACCTCATCTGTTATATTTTACAAAATGGTTTTATATTGTGTTTTAGGGAACTTAAATTAACTTAAGTGCATTTTTCACAAAATGTTTTGTTTTTATAATAAGTTGTGCTAATGCCCTGCAACACAAAAATTTGCAACTGCCGCCATTTCATTCTATAGGGTCTTGGCTTTCCAAAAATATATAATGTTTGGGGTTTTTAATTAATTTTCAGGCCTAAAATGTGGAGCAAAAAATTAAAAAAAAAGGACATGGTCCTTAAGGGGTTTAGAGTAATAGAAGTGCTGAACATCTTAGAAAATTAAATGTTTATTTTAGAAAAAAAAACATAGGGAATT